ATGCTCTTGAAAAGTCTTTCAGTAGATAACCACGTCATCTAAATAGCACATGCGAATTTCCCGTTTTAGTCCACGCAGTACTGTATCCATAAATCTCTCAAATGTCCCTGGAGCATTGCACAAACCAAAGGGCTTAACGTTAAACTAAAAAAGACCGTCTGGTGTTACGAAGGCCGTCTTCTCTTTATCTGGAGGATGCATAGGAATTTGCCAATACCCAGAACGCAAGTCAACAAAAAAAAAAAAATAGGAGGAATACTGCAGGCAGCCCACGACGTCATCTATACGTGGCAAAGGGTAGACGTCTTTTTTTGTGATGGCATTTAGGCGACATCAGCCTACGCAGAATCTCCTTGAATTATCCTTCTTTCTGACTAAAATGACAGGAGCTGCCCACGGACTACACGATTCTTGTATGACGCCCTTCTTTAGCATGTCTTCAGCTTTCTCAGCGATTACTTTCTTTTCGGAAGGCAATACGCGATAGGGCCTCTGGCGTATTGGTGGTGCTTGGCCTGTATAGATGCGGTTTTGCGTACGTGAAGACGGTGGCGTAACGGTAGACGTCTCGTCTTGGGCAAAGTCAAAGACTGAGACGTAGCCTGTGATCACCTCCTGCAGCGAGACCGTTCAGTTGAAGGAAGTGACTTGTTGATAATACGGTGTTTGTTGCACTATTTTGTTTGGGTATTCTTACACCGTGGTTTGAATTTAATGGCACAAAAGCGTCTAAGGTTACGCTGCAGCTGGCACAGGGTGTTGAAATTTGACTACTAACTGCTGCATATGCTGCAGTACTTAAAACCTTGTTTTAAAATGTTTCAATTAAAAATTCATCCCGTGAGCCACTTTTACCAGCGCGTCACCTCCTAAAATGTAGGATTGCATGCAACGATATGTGCAATTATACAGTATTGATTGATATGTGGGGTATAACGACCCAAAACCACCATATGATTATGAGAGACGCCGTAGTGGAGGGCTCCGGAAATTTCAACCACCTGGGGTTCTTTAACGTGCACCCAAATATGAGTACACGGGCCTACAACATTTCCGCCTCCACCGGAAATGCAGCCGCCGCAGCCGGGATTCGAACCCACGACCTGCGGGTCAGCAGCCGAGTACCTTAGCCACTAGACCAACGCGGCGGGGCAATTATACAATATGTCGAAGTACTTCGTGTTTCTGTTTTAACACGTGGCAAGTAATCAAATGCATGTAGTGGTGGACATTACTGGCTGTCAGTTAATCTAGGATGGTTTCGAGCATTAATTGAACGCGAGAACCTAATTTTGAGTTGAATCATCTATTAGAGTACATTATTAATTTGAAATGAATGTACCTTGGCAATTAAGTGACGATTCGCAGGTACTTCGACGACCGAGCAAACTGGAGGCAATCAGTCCAGTCTTAATGAGGAATTTCAGCAAGTCGAAGACGGCAGCGAGACGTGAATCGACGGAGGTTTCGTCGCGTATCATATGGGAACAATTCCGTACGATTTTGCAAGCTTTATATTTGCGATATTCAGAAATTTATTTATATTTATTCGTGAATTCATTATATTTATTCATTTATATTATTTGACTGTTAAGAGTAGTCATGATGCCTTTTCAGCATATACTGTTACCGACTTTTGTGAAAGCTATCAAAGTGAAATTACATGTTGTGATGTGATAGCCAAGTATTATTGACGTGTGCCTTATTTGTTCAGGGCCAAGAATCGAATAAATTACCACCGATCGCGTCCACAGAGTTTTTTATTTGAAAATGCACAAGTTTTTCCCTATGGGAAAAACACTCGAGCATTACTTTTATGTCACAATATATATATATATATATATATATATATATATATATATATATATATATATATATATATATATATATATATATATATATATATATATATATATATATCTATAAATGTATAAAATCTTAGTATTCCAGCATATCTCTATTTTAGAAATTTATATCCACTATGAGACCATGCGAATAGTTGGAATAATTTAGAATCTACGAAAGCCTCACTTAACTACTTAATTAACAATAAAAATGTATTGTTCCTGAGGCTCTAGTCAAAGTGCAAAACAATGGAACTGGGTTAAGAAAGGAGCGATGATGACGATGGAAAACTTGGCAACATATGTGCGAAGCAGAACAGTTCATCTTGAGAGCCAGCGATTACATGATACATAGCGCTCTTAAGAGTAACATTTTATGAAATATTAAAGGTCGTTAAGGTTTAACTTGACGCGACTATACACATAAGACGCCACAAGTGCAGGCATTCTCAATCGTGCACTGCAATGATTAGTGCTACACATACTCCCTTTCTAAAGTGATTTGCAAGTATAAAAGACAAATAGTTGCCAAAAATTTCAGAAATATTTTATTCCCGCTTTACTTTCAAACACTCTTTAGAATACACTCATAGTTCATGGTATCTTATACATGTATCATGGTATCATATTCATGGTCTTCATGGTATTTGTGGTATATTCTTTGTATCAGGGCATCATATGCATGTGTACGTTGCCTGATTATATGAGGTGCCCTGCAACTACAAACAGCTCAAAATGTGAGACCATTGTGCGGTTATCAATGTGTGCCATGATCATTATCCCAACCAGGACTTTCGCTTTGCAGCCACTGTCGTGAACTTCGCGTGTTGCTAACCTCTCGGTCCTTCCGCTTCATTCTTTCCTCCTCACGTGTTTGGTAAAACATGCGTACTAATATAACCAGCGAATATATGCGACTTCGTTCCGAAAGTGCGGCTACATCTGCAGATATCGTTTATGTTACACGCTGGAAAAAAAGAACGCCGAGTCCTCGTTATCATTGTCAATATTCAGGGGACGTAATCGGGGTGCCGCTCTTTACTCGTTATCACTGGGACACAAGCTTATTTGACAAGGCATGATAAGATATCAACACTGAGTAGTGGCAACATAATATGTCAAAACTATTGGTTCAAGCCAGAATAAGGCAATCATCCAGGAAATCCGTCACTGAAGTACCTTTGTCTTTTTTCCGTGTTGTGCAGTTTTGTGAACTACTTCGTATGCTTTTATACGTCGCGCTGTCTGGCGAACCAAATGCGAAAAGCACTATTCCTGTCATTCAAGCAGCGTTGGGGCAATGAGAGGAATCATGGCATTAGAATCGCGCATGGAACAAGTTTGCGTCGTGCACATCTGAAATCGAATGTACATTATAGGTGTGCGAATATACGAAAATTCCGAACAAGGAATCAAATTTGGCATATTTCAATTACTGAGGATCTTTCAAATACTTTTCGCATGATTGACACCAACGGTCCGACAACTGAAAAAAAACACGTTGAAAACAGCAACGAATAATTTTTGTAGATAAAATAATTGAATTACAATAATGCATGCAGCACATGTAATCAGTGGGGCCTACTACTAACAGTAATGGTCAATGAAAGTTTCTCCTCCCCCAATCTCCCACTGCCTCACTAATATGCATTTGATAATATGACGCTACCTTAAATAAAAAAAAATTGGCCCCATATCTGCATGTTTCACTGCAAATGTCGTTGAAAGACTATAGTCTTGCGTGTGGAGAGAGGGAACAAAACGTTTATTTTATGTTCTGCGCAAGAAAATGGGTGATTTGTATTCCGGAAGCACGGAGTTAGAGTGTCTCGATCCATGCAGCGAAGGCGAACCAGTGCATCGAGGCACGTTAGACACGAGCGCCATCTGGAAGTTATCTTCGAAAACGAAGGAAGGCGTGCACACCCGCGGAGAAAGATGCACACCTGTCTTGGAGGCGTCAACGCGTACAACGCAAAGCGACGGGCAGGTACCACCACCATGTCGTCTTAGCAAAGCGTTGGAAACACTTGCCTTTTTCAGCACAGCGTGGCACTGTCAGTGCAGCGTGATAAACGCTATGGTTCTCAGAACAACTTGTGTGTGCCTTTTCTAGTAAAAGGGCACACATACTAAACATCGAGGTGTTGTTGTGGTGCTAGAGATATGCGCAATAATCGCCTTTTAATTGACAACTGCACAAGTATGAAAGCTGAAACTTGAGAAATATTGGTGGGCGCTGCGGGTGAAATCGGCCGTTTGATTTATCCTTTGGTGCCTTTAGGAAGATCGTTATCGTGGGCAAACAGGAACCGACAGACAGACAGACAGACAGACAGACAGACAGACAGACAGACAGACAGACAGACAGACAGACAGACAGACAGACAGACAGACAGACAGACAGACAGACAGACAGACAGACAGACAGACAGACAGATAGATAGATAGATAGATAGATAGATAGATAGATAGATAGATAGATAGATAGATAGATAGATAGATAGATAGATAGATAGATAGATAGATAGATAGATAGATAGATAGATAGATAGATAGATAGATAGATAGATAGATAGATAGATAGATAGATAGATAGATAGACGAACCAAAATTTTGGCGTCGAAGGTCCCCAAGAAAGACTATCGTCTTTAAAATACCAGTTGCCTTCAAAAAAAGTCACAGCTTTGCCGCAAAGGCGAAGCAATGAACGTAATAGTAACAAATGGAAAAGTCACGCGCAGAATAGAAAGCACATCGAAACGTGCCCTGTGTTTCTCACGTTCAACTGACGCCTAATAAGTACTCACAGGTACAGATGCACGCGAATAAGCGTCTCATTTGTTACTTCGCCTTGTCTGAAAAGCACGCGCTTTTCGGAAGCGGAGACTGCAATGATTGCAATGACCTTTGTGCGCCCGGTAACTACAACATAACCGTTCCAGGCAAAGCCCGAGGCCAGCCAAGGCGTACGATTCTCCCCTTTGCGCCACCGCGAGATAAGGGCGCGCGAGGGAGCGTTGCTCCCCTTCTCTAAGCCGGGCAAACTACGCGTAGAAGATTAGAGCGGGCGCCGCCGCGCGATGTGGCGACGCGCGCTCATAGCGCCATCTTGCTGGTAATGCTGAAAACACAACCCCCCCCCCCCCCCAAGATACTCATGAGCAGCGGTAAGTGGTAGGTATAATTAGCTTGCCGTTTGAATGGTGAAGGACGTGCTCCGGGGCGGCTCAGTGGATAACGCCTCGCTTTTACGACGCAGAAGTGACACTTTCGATTCCGCGCGGGAGTGTATTTTTCAATACTTTTTTCTTTTTTGCGTTTTCATTAATATTGATACGTATACATATACGGGGCATGACATCGACGCCGATGCCGGCGGGAAACTGCAGCCGAGAGTGTCCATATAAATGCTATCGCAATAAAATAGGTATTCGATGGGCTCGAGTAACTTTGTCACATTCTTCAGCACTTGCGAATCTAGTATGACTAAAACATACGACTTAGGCTTGCCCACAGAAAAAAAAATGGTGATTACATCACCTAATGGCAGAGACGCAGCCATAGTTTTTTTTTTCTATGAGTGAAGGGGAAACATCTTCCGACTTCAAGTGTGTTCGTGCGTTCGTTTGTATACGTGCACCTTATATACATTCACAAAACGTAAAAAGCTTTTTTTTTTCATTTGTGTATGTGAAGGGGCAAGGATGAACACCCCAAACAACCCTTCTGGCTGCGGCACTGCCTCAAACAATTGCCCGAGTTACGCGTTAAATGCGCGCAAAATACAACCGAAGGTGAGAAGTGTTTGCAGTAAGGGCAGTAGTCAGGCATTCTTTTTCGCTTTCACTGGAGAGTCTAAGTGTCATCCCTACTATAAGTAAACAGGTGTCACGAGCAGGATGTCCAGGACAAGGAGTAATGACACTGAAGCGACTGCGCTGCCGCTGGCAGCTCCATCGACAAACATATCCCGGATATTATCGTGGCTTCCGCTATTCTGGAGTGGCTGGATTCCCAGCTGCCTGCAGATGACGTTGTAATGGTCCACCATGCGCACAGGTTTATTCTCAAAACCTTGCTTCAGTCCTGCACAGAGACAATGTCCGCGCTAGCATACAAGCAGGTAAAATGGTGTGCAGAAACGTGCGCATACTTGGCGTGCTCGAAGTAAACATGTTTTCCCGAGAACAAACCTGGACCAGTGGCCAGAAAAACGGTACGCATATCCACGAGCTTCATGGGGTCGTAGCCGTGGCCCCCACCAACTGTCTTGTTCGACTTCGGCATTTGCTTCTCACTCTCCGTAAGGCGGAGCTGCAAGAGAAGCATGAAGTTCGTGAGAAGTGTCCGAAATGAAACACTATGCTGTCAAGTTTTCAAAGATGTAGACGGTTGTTCTATAAGTGTTCTGTGCTTGCCAATTTTTTTTAGTTATGAGTTGACACTTAACATTATCAGTTTAAGTTCAACAAGATGTTGCACGCTAGTTTTAGGCCTTAAGAATGTGCTGTGATCAAATATAGGAGGAGGATAGAGAAATTGTCACGCACAACAATCCTCAAATTAGTCCATATTTTATTTATAGGAGAAAAGGCGGAGATATCAACCAGGTACACGTGCAGTTTGCTGCACGCAGAGAAGGAACTTGACGGGTAAAAAAAACAAAACAAAAGAGTGGTAGGTGCTGTGAGTGCTGAAACCGTGCAGCTTATTGAAGTGTACACTTGCTCGCACAGATTAATATATATTAAAAAGAATGTCGAAACAAAACACCAACTATCGGAAAGCTGTCGAAGAGAATAAAGGATCACGCAAGACACCGTTTTTTCGGTGACGCAGAGAGCTTGCCTTTAAGAGCAGGTAACCCGGATCAGTAGTTAGCACAATGGGTTGCGTCAAGTACGAATCCTTGAGATGGTACGACTCAGGCAGGTCCTCTCTCCTGAAAACGTTCAGGCCCTTCATGTTCAGGCTTTTCAACTTGGCGTACACCTGCACGTAAGGAAAATATTATACGCGGTATGCCAGGAGCCAAACAATGACGTAGTTTGGTATCAACAGTGCTGCAAACAGATCAAGAACATGCTTAATTATTGCTACGAATGATGTCCGAGGTTGAGTAAATGTGTTTTAACCAGCTTGCGATGGCAGGCGAATAAAGATACGAAGAGAATGGTCCCCGCGTAGGTATGATGTTAGGAGCTCTGATTCAGATCTGCTTTTCACAACGAACGTAGTCAAATGAAACTATGGAGCACGCTTTAGAGTGGACGTTGCCGTGATTGCGCTTCAGGCATTCGAAGTAGCAATGTAGATCTAACTTGTACAAAGCTACATAGGTTCAAAGTTGGATTCACACCTAGAACCATACTAATTACCGAAATTGTTCGGAGTACAGAACCGAAATGTATTATTTTTTAAATAACAAAATGCGCGAGAATTACAAATAATGGCGAAACTATTGTGAGGAATATAAGGCAGCAAAAATGCTGAATATGTTCAAGACGCAAACATGCAGCCCTCAGTGATGAAGTGCTGCTTGAATCTTTCCGCCCACGTATCGCAATGCAGCAATTCAATTCCATAACGTTGGCAGTTCGTGAAATTCATGTCAACTAGCAAATCACTACTATACACATCCCATGCCCAAAACAAAAGAAGCGTAAGACAAGGAGGCAAAATGCATGTCACATCTTGATTATATTTAGATTTTGTAAATGTTGACCCCACTGCGAACATCCGAACAAAGCCCATAAAACTAAAACCGCTATTGCAATTTCGCAATACCTCTCCAAGTTGGTCTCTGGTTTTTTTTTTATCAGCAAAGAAAACAATCTTGCGCAGAGTTATCGGGCTCACCTTGTCTATCTTGTCGCTGTGTGGTCGAAGCATCGAGAACGCCCCAGCATCGAGCATACAATGGAGGTCGTTGTCGTCAATATGTGGCTCGATGTCGATCACGTCGTTCTTATCAAAGCCTGTGTCCGTCATGCCGTGGTCAGACACGACGATGATGCTGAGCTAAGAATAAAGCTATATTAAAGTTTTGTCCATGGGCTATAACAGCTACTAATGCTGTTCATATAAAAGCCTTTAAATAAACTGAAAACGACTATTCCATTTTGTCTTCACTAAATAACTATTAACTTCTAATTATTCCCGTACTGCTAGCATATCAGAAATGAAATCTAACCTTGACCTACCCAATTTAACTGTCCGGAGGAAACTGGCGCGACTGCATTTTTTTCATAAGATATTTTTTCACAATCCATCAATGAAGCGAGACCTCATTTCACAACCGTCATACCACTCATCACGCATTGATCATCAGCATAAGGTTGCCATTCCGTTTTGCCGCACCAAATTATTTTCAGCAGCCTTCTTACCGAAAACAGCCGCCGATTGGAACCACCTTCCCTCTTCCGTTGTATCAATAACAGACCCTTTGTTATTCAAGACTGCAATTTCTCAGCAATGCTTGTAACTATACGCAGTTTTCATTATCTGTCTTTGTCTTGTATGTGCTTGAATTCTTATACATTTTTAGTTGACTTATGTTGCCTTCCTGATTTGCGCATCTGATACTTGTTTCTTTATTTTGTCTTTTTTTCTTGTGTGTTATATATGTTGTACCCACCCCCTCTGTAATGCCCTACGGGCCTTGAGGGTATTCTAATAAATAAATAAATAAACTTGTCTTCAAGACATCTGTATACCAACTTTCGTCGCGTCACCTACGTGTCACACTTATAGCTTTCGTTATGGACACTTACTTTCAGTCACGTAATATTCGGGTGCAGCTTTTCTGTCATGAGTTCACTTACGGTGTAAATTAGTACAAATTTTGGTTGCAGTATAGTCAGTTTCGTTATTCACCTAACCTACTTCCGATCTACATTGCCGCCTAGCTATGACAAGTTTACTTTTGTTAAGTTATTGGCACTGTCCTAACCCACTGCAGAAACTAAGGAGAGAAGTTCCAGAAACACAGTGTCTTCAACAGCCTCCAAATATTTGATTGGAGTGATACAATGTCACACAAAGCTACTGTCATTTTATATTTGCTTCAGAAAGGTTAGCTTACCTTACCTGATCACGTATATTATATTTCGTGGCTTCGTCGAGCAGATGCTTGAGCAGGTAATCGGCACTCTTGAGTGCTTCTTTGCGCTCCCTTGAGTCCGGGCCATATTCGTGTCCTTTCAGAGAAGTACAGGTCAAATCAGTTTTGAGAAGTTTTGTCAGTGACCACCTCATGTTGAAGTGCAGCCAAGCTGCGTCTTAGCGAGGCTACGTTGCCCCCCAGAGCGGGGCACTGCGCACAACCATGATTTACGAGCACTCACCTGCCGCATCGACGGCTTCGTAATAAACAAGCGCAAAGTCGAGTGCGTTCTGTTTCAACTTCCTCACTGCCTCAGAAATTGCCGCTTTAGTGTCCCTTTCAGCCGTAGGCCACTTGCCGAAATTTCGATAAGGAAAGCATATCGTGGGCTTCACACCTCTTATCTCCACCTGCAAAGTTTGGAAGATTTATTTCATTGAATTTTTTTTTCCGTACAAAAATTCTTTTTGAAACTCTATCTAAATTAGTTCACATAAAAAATAACCATACATCAATTAAATTAAATATGCGGAATTATATATTTAGACCGTCTAGGGTTATTGACGAGTACATATATGCATGGCGTTCATGGAGACGAGATGTGGGAGCACGAAGACCCCGCGAATGAGCAAAGAAATCAATAAATTCAAGCTTTACGGAAGTCAAATGAAAGGATGACGAAGTGCGGGTAAGGAACTACGGGGCTCACCTGGCAACCATCCCAATAGTACATGCCGGTGCGGAGTCCGTTTTTCTCGGCCGTCACCCAGACCGGCTCCGCGTGGTTCCACCAGTGCGGGTTTGATGCATTTGGGTGGGGCGCCATCAAGAAATAGTCATCGTACTTCTCGTCGTACATGTAGTTATGCACGAAGCCGTGCTCCTCTGCGTACAGTCCTGTAGAAAAAGTAGGAACGAAGTTCAGTTCTTTCATTAGCGTATACAATAGCCGCGAAACTATGCGCAACATCAACCGACTACAGCTGCGTCATGGTATAAACAGCGCTTCATTCCTCCACTTTCACTAATGCTCCGTTTACCTACGTCTGAGGCATTTGGCTGACTTCCATACCCGTAAGAGGACACCATTTTCAAGCGCATCCTTTCATTTACAAACGTACGCGGTGGTATATGTCATTACCCCTGTTCCATGCGTCGCCTCATATTTGTTTTAAACCAAACCTACTCGTGTTTTCGCGCCCAGCAAGTAACTGCAGCGCCACTTTCCCCACTTTCTCTTCGTGCTGGCTTTCCGACTCGAGGCTCGGTGAAAGTATTGTTCTCGATGTTCTCGACTCTCCTTTCAGCTCGTACAAAGACTCCGGCATTTTTTGGGAACTGTCAGCGTTCTGACGTCACACCCCTGCATACGTCAGCTCCATCTCTAAATATTTTTTAAACTTCATGTTCGTATCGGGCCTGCGTAAAACACCTTTCAAATGTGCCTGCCATGCTTCAACGTAAGCTACACCTTCCACGCGAGAACAAAACGACGACACAGAGACAAGCATACGAAAGACATAGCACTCGTGTCCTTCGTGTCCTCCTTGTCTCTGTGTCGTCGTCTTGTTCTCGCGCTATTACTATTGTCATGCCATACCAACTAGCTCAAGCTGCCACACTACACCTTCCCTTTGTGTATCTGAACTCGAGCGATTTTAGGGCGAAAGCCTTTAATGTCACATACTCGCGTTCGTTTGTCCGTGCCTTGGAACGGTGTCGGCTGTGGTATCTCTCCCTCCCGTTCTCTAAGCAATCACTTGAAAGCACAGATGCGCATACCAACAATTGCCCCACCACAGTGTGACCTTTCCTTCTCACACTATCTAATTAATCACGTGAGTTGTGAGATATTGTTAAAAAAAGACGTAGTCTAGTCAGTCGAATGACCAGTCTTTCACCGAATACACTTCGAAATTTACAGTGTCCTTCCCTTTTTTTCTTCAGTATCTCAGCCATCCTTTTCTGCTTTTCCTTTTGCATACAGCAGTGCTGCGACGACCCAATAGCTGTTGCATGCCTACATTGTGAATAGATTCTTTTAGTAGAAGCTATAGCACGTCTATTAAGGGTGCATTGCCGACCTCGCCCATCATATTGAAAATGCTGTGTTTCGTGGTTTTATTTTTTTGCGGAACTTATGACTAAAGGGGCGTAATTTTATTTGAAAGTGCCTATAGTTACACCAGAACAAAGTTCGGTACTTTTGATGTTTGGTGTTCTGCAACCCCAGATTCTAAGTAGACGAGATTTTTTTATGTTTTCGTACACCTTAGCCAAGCAAATAACGATAATTGGTGTGGTCAATATACATAAACACCGCTAATCCGTTGAGCTATGAAATACTACAAATAGAATGTAGGAAGAGTGGCAGCAAATAATTTAAGGTGGACATAATTAGGCTCCAGGATTACACCACTGATGTTCGAAACATTAGATATTGTAGATCGTGTACGCATGAAAGACATGCACTGTACAGGCTTCGAACATGAAAAGCTGAATTTTCTGAGCACCTATGCTGTGGATATGATCATTTTGTTGCAGGTTAGTATACTGATGCTTGGAATTCACGGGTGGAAGTCGACGAAGGTGGCGTTTAGTTCATGATTCTTGTGTATTCGTGTCCTTTTGCCTTTTTTTTCCCGTAAAGTAAAAATATTCTCAAACAGAGATGGTAGCCGACGCTTATTCGTAACGCAAATAAATCATACTATATTTTATGAATACGTTAGGGTTCTTGTGACACTCGTGAACTTAAAGTCGGTCGATGCGCGCGACTCTTCCACTTACCAGGAATCGCGAGGCAGAGTATCTCTTAATGTTAGCGCCCGTAACACCACGAAAGCGCTGCCCAATTTTATCCGGGCCACAAGTCTGAATGAATTTCTGTAAATGTATTCTCCGCGTGTTTGGCTGTGTGCGTCATGTGTTTATCACCGCGTGTATCATAATCATCAACCAGCACCTGCATGTAGTAGCGTGTCGGGCGAAGAGCCAGGCAAACATTTACAGCTGTTCGTTAAAAGAATTATTCCTCTTACTTTCTCTCTGTAGCAATGTAGCCTCAGGGTGCACCCGCATCGCACAGCTCGTAAAAACATACAATATCGCATAAATGGCGCGGGACGTATTTTGAGCTACTATTACAGAGTAATAGCACACTGAACTTACAATAAAAGACTTGGCGAACTCGGATTATTGTTTTATTACCTTGGTTTCATGATGTGCTAGAAGGTGGGAGCTTAACCAGAGTCTTTTTATCGGAATTTCCAACGAAAGAAAGCTTGAAAAGCGTAAGCTTATGTACTGTTAAATGTTACTAGCAGCCAGTTCTTACAGAAACGCCTTACATTGAACGTTTTCAGGTCATTTAGTAACGCGCTCATTACAGTTTCGAAACAGTAACGAGTAACGTACAAGAGGGATGGATAGAAACGCGTATACAGTGCAGCGCACTGTTTTCGTCACGTTCTGACCAATTGGTGGCAATAAAAAGATTTTAGAATGGTATTTAATTTTGTCGTAAATGGCTCTAGCGGTTCTCTTAAAAATAAATGCGAAACCACTTGAAAATTAATGCGAAACCACTGAGAATGTAGATGTCGCATGTATGCGTTACTTTTCATCCCATCCGTACTTACTTTATTACTTTTCGGTAAATTGACGTGTCTCGTTACTAGTTACCTTTTATTCTAATTATCCAGGGAGTGATCCACAAAAAAGTCCGTCTTGTAGGCACCACACTTCCAGAGCTATTCTGAAGTCGCAGTGGTGGACTGCAATCGGCCAACTAGATGTTTGCAATATAGGAGTATCTCCTAATAATGTGTCCATAAATCGCCTCTTTACAGCAGCTCGACAGTTAAGATGTAAAGCTGTCACTTCAATTCTTTCAGCTGTAGTTGTGAGCTAGTTGTCCCTGTAATACCACAGTGTCGTTTATCAGTACCGTTGTCACAATAAAATTTGCCCCTGATAGCAGTTATACGCTTGTGGTAGTCGCGTTGGATTCCCGAACGAGCGGTGCCGACCTGGAATGCCTTCGCATCAACAATTAGAATTTTCGCGGGAATAAGTTAGGTTAAAGCGCCAAAAAGAACTTTTGCTGTAAATATTTTTTATGGAGTATGCACATTAGGAATTTTTCGATTGTTATAAGATCCATGATTTGTAGGATAGCAAAAGCACCGAGTGACAATCCTTGCACATATTCCGCGACATGAGAGCTTTTCTTTCCCGGGAGCATTGATTACGTCCATGACCCTGTGCCGCAAAGTTACAATTCATCAAATGAGATTCGACGGTAGACATTAGAGGACTACATTATTGATAAAGTCCGGGAAACTTGTGCAGCGCTTTTTAGTAATTCAGCGAAAATCATCGTTTTCAGTGCAGGTTTTACGCGACCTACAAGCATGAGATTTATTAAATTATTATTTTGGTTCCTACAAACGAGGTTACAATATTTTTTTTAATATTGAAGTAGTGGCAGAAGTAATGAGCGTTACTTTTTTTTCTCGGTATCAATAACCCTTTGCATCTTGTAGCGTATTGAGGTAATACATTTCTTTTTTTGTTGTTGTTAGCGTGGCAGACAACATATTTCGCCATTTTTTTGTAACGCATACAACATTGTCATAACAGCGAAACACAGAGCGAGAGTTTGTACTCTGAAACGTGCTTAGCGAAGTACAAAAAGATAGTTTCCAGAGTACCAAACCCAAAGAAAAATACTATTTCTCGTCAGTGTCTGCTAGCGCTACGATCCCTTTCGATCCATTTAACCAACTCACCGGTGACGATGCTGTACCAGTTGGGGTACGAATTTGTCGGCATGACGGGCACCACGTATTCGGCCTTCACTCCCGTATCAGCCAGTTCTTCGAAGCCCGGCAGGTGCGGTTCCTCTAGGTAGTCCCAGCGCAGGCCGTCGATCAAGAAGAGGAGAACCCGCGGGCGACTGACTTCCGCTAAGAACAGCGCATGGCACTTGCAGGTACCCAATGCGGAGAGCAGTAGGAGGCGGAGTCCGAAGTCAGCGAGACCAGAGAATGCGACTTCGCGTGGCGACCTTAAACTGGCAGGGCCCATTTTTTTTTAACGCCAGCGATCAAGATGTACTACGGAAAGTTGTCTCGAAGGCACGCATAAGTGGCTACACTTAGCAGCGTGTAGATCCTGGTTTGGGAACTCAGCAAGCAGAATTACGTAGCTAGCTGGAACTTCCAACTGGAAACTTCTGTAACCGGCAGTCCGATCTGACAAGTCCACGCGGATGAGCCTGTCCTACGCTCGTCAGAGAAGAGAGCTGCTGCTCTTGCGTCGTCAATGGGTCGCGCTCAGGGGAGGGCAAGCACAAAGGTTCCGTTTGCACGAGGCATTTGGCCTTAGCCCTTAGACATTTGAGTGGCATCCTGTCAAGTATGACGTCAGACGAGGGGGGAATCCGCTGCCGAGTAGCGCGTATGTTTGGTGCAGTGCGAAACGCTGCCCGGCTTGCCCTGCTCTACATTCGAAGCAAAACATTCTCAGCGAATCTTTGGAGACTCTGCTGCCCTCTGAGGTATCTCCTTGGGTTCTACTGAACATCACATACAGAAAAAAAAAATCAGGGAGAGAGCATAATAGGAAGAAAATAAACCTTTTGCAGCAAAGTTTTTGACAATCTCGATACAGGCCACGCACTTTAAAAAACAAAATACTTGCATGTATTGTAAAAAAACGTTATTGTGCCTACATTTACGACATTGGAGGGCTAAACGAGTTTCGTCTGCATATATTTGTCTCCTAGGACATTGTTGTGCCTGAATATTAGTGGCGCCAAAAACACTACATTGTAATGACTGAAAATCCGTTCTCTAGTGACGCCATTGTGCACTCCCCACGCAAGTGAAAAATGACAAACGTATTGACGTAGCCTGTGGAGGGAAGGCGAGGATAAAGAGAAGAAACCCCCTCTCCCACCCGGAATTCTTAAATTCAGCATGACGACACGTACACAAAAGTACTGACAGTTGGGCGAGTTCATATTTATTCATCATTTAATGCACAACACTATAGGACGAAGAAGAGACCGAAACAATACGAGAAGATATCTCACGCGTTGTTTCGATCTCAGCATCCATGTCCAGTGTTGGGCATTCAATGATGAAGGATGATGGACGAATTCGCACATAGAAACATAAGCACGAACATATTTGAAGCGGGATTAACACTCCCTCCCCTACACCCTTACAATGGCATAGCCTATTTTTTTTTTTTTTTTGAGGCAAGGTAAGCTGGAATGGAGGGAGTAAACGCGAAATTTTTTTGTGAATATTCGTGGGTGTGTTTGTATGGGTGCACGTTAACTACAGATAAAAAATGAAAAAAAAATTGGAGTGGCAAAAAAAAATACACGCTTCCCCCCCCCCCCTCCTCACAGTGAGCCGATTTTCTAGTAAATCTACAGTGGCGTGCAACCAGCGTTTGTGAGTAGATAGGCTACCGCTCTGAGCGTAAGAAATAAGGTTATGTGCGCAAGTGCGCAGTGTAAAAACGTTTAAGATTCGCATCACAGACATTTTATAGGTACTGTTACTCCGAAGCCTAGGTTTTCTGAAAGACGGGCATAATAGAAAAAAAAAACCTTAAAATAAGTTTTATTTCACAAACACACACATCATACACTCTTTTCTGCGCTCAAGTTTGAGTAGATGCACGTTGTAGAACCCCAGGTGGTCGAAATTACCGAGTCTTCCACTACGGCGTTTTTCGTAACTGTATGGTGGTTTTGGACGTTAAGCACCACATATCAATCATCAAAATACACTTTCTTCACTAAATTTGAGTTCAAAAACTTCTTCCTCAAACAACGGCTTGGTACACTGATATTCAAAAGTTCACAAAGAACCCTAGGATAGCCAAGCCAGACTTCTCTTCGATTTAAAAACTTAAGTCCTGAATGCAAATTGTGTCAACACTTTCAGCGGCTCGCTTCGAATGGCGGTAAAGAAAAAGTAAAGAAACAATAAATATAAACAAAAAATAAAATAAACACGACGAATGATCCTGCCAACGTATGAAGTTCAGTCGTCCCAAAAAGACGCCTAATATAAAACCCAGAAATTAATGACCGAGGATAGCACATCTACACCAAACAACGATGATGACATCTTAATGATGTTATCGAAAAAAAATAACGGAGGTGAATTTAATTTTATAAGGTAAGAAGTGATCAATGGTGAGGAATTAAAAGTACAGCACTGTCAAAAAGAAACAGCAACATAATCTGGCTCAGGAGAGGTGTGTTTCATGTGCACATTCGCATTGATTTAGCTTAGCATTGAAGTGGCCACGTGAGGATGCACATCACAGGTGAAAATATCCTCACGTCCACAAAAAAAAAAGAAAAAGAAAGGTCATGCTGCATATACACTTCTTTCACCTTTGCCTACTAATACAAAACAATCTAAGTGAATGAAGCTTTAAAAAGTTGCTTCTTTTTCGTCTCACAGTCGTAGAGTGGAAACAATGGGCCCCGTTTTTATATGTTTCAAAACTCAGCCGTGCGAAGCGATAGCTTCTCAGTAAAATTTAATAAAAATGCAAAATGCGCTTCAAGTAAAGTTTCTGCAAACACTTTGTTAACTGCAAAAGCCTACTTCACAAATATTGTTCGTAGTTTATTCAAGCGTAATCGAACAGCGCTTCAGGAAGGACAAAGTCTGTCATCCTAGCTTCATCCCGCACGAAGATCAGCTCAGTTTTGTTGTTAAGTCCGTTAAGCGCGAAAGTTTTCATCTGGCTGACAGGGATGGAGTATATGTTAAGATAAACGTAAATTTTAAGCAGTGATTGTTCCGTGTCGGCAATCTGTAACATTTTGTTCAGTGCCTCTCTAGGCCATCTGGCCAGGATCATTAAGAAAAGGGTACAAAGTCTTAAAAAGATTGTGCTGGCGATGAGACGAAACACAATTAAAACTCGTTGTGCGGTAGATGATTAGAGCACGCTGGTTAGATAGTTAAACTGCAATATATATATATATATATATATATATATATATATATATATATATATATATATATATATATATATATATATATATATATATCTGCCCACGGTAAGGTATCTTTTCACCCACTTTTCTTTCTTCACATTTACCTCACAATTTGGTCTAATAACCTGACCTATACTTTCCTTGGCATTATTGTCTGTTACATTTCATTAATATTCTGTCAAAACACGAAAAAAAAAACGAGCCCTTAAGTATACAGTTCTTGCCCATATATATATATATATATATATATATATATATATATATATATATATATACAGCGGACATTAAGGGAGTAGCGTTACCGTGCAGGAAACGTTCGTTGCGGACAGTGTCTTATAACTTAGCGGGATAGCGTTTACGTGGTTTAAGTGTCTATAAGATAGGATGGTAACAGCACCTATCGGAGAGTCGATAAGTTAAAAAAAAACACTTAAAAGTAAAAGCAAATGAGAATGTTTTGCCTGTGTCACCGCACGAAGAATTGTTACAAATTCATTTTAGAAGTAATAGAAGTAAACGAATTTGAACCACGCACCAAACGCGAAAGCATTTATGTTGCCGATTTGCTTACAACGATCTAGTTAGGCCTAGAGACGTTCGAGATGAATGGGAAAGTATGTCAAAAATCACGCTAGCTTATCCGTGATGCCCTGTCATCGAAGCTAACTGAAGCCAAGCGAAACCAATTTAAACAGTCGTTCGCTACGAAGTGCATTTTTCGACAACTATACACCAAAATCACTTCGAAACGGGCGTCCGCAAGCGCCGCCATGTTTGCGTACACTACGTACACCACGCTAACATGGTAACGGTATATCTTAAAGGTAGCGCGCGTACGGCAAGCGGTATGAATAACGTACATATCTGCGTATGCGTACTATACGATACCGCTATCCCGCTAGGCCCGGTGTAATATAACTGTCTAGTGGTACAGGTAACTGCGCGCCGCCAGTAAGATGTTGGGCACAACCAGGAGAGAGAGTGAAACGGCCGTGCTGCTTCCGCTGGCTCCACCGACAAACATTCCCTGCACGTTATCTTGGCTGCCGCTATTTTCGAGTGGCTTGATGCCCAGCTGCCGGCAGATGACGTTGTAGTGGTCTACCATGCGCACCGGTCCGTTCTGGAAGCCCTGTTTCAGTCCTGCATGAAGAGTTAGTCCTGCATGAAGGGTTTGTCCAGAGAGTGGTAGGACTGATTTTTTTTTTCTCCACAAATACGTCGTGAAGGATGGGGATGCTACTGCACTGGTTAGATGGGGGAGGGGGGGGGGGTAGGGGTATCTGCTACTAGCGCGCCAGTCGTCACTCATCTCCCGGCGTTCATGGAGTGTACATCGAGTTTATGGCGAAACCATTTCAATGTACCTTGCCCTCTCCACAATAAATCATTTGTTATAGGAGCGCTGCGCGGTAAAACTGCGTCAAACTCGGTAAAAGTGCCAGTGAGACAGACCCATTAGAAGACCTAGATTGTTTAATGCAGCGATGTCATGGGTCGTTCAAGTGGCGAGAGGCTCAAAGCATTTGGGAGGAATGAGAACAACTTGAACATAAGCAAGAGTCAGAACGCCGTTCAACGGCAAAAAAAAAGTCACGGCAATCCGCCGAGCCACACCTTCTTCGCTGTCATGGACTTCCTGACCAAAGGCCACAAGTCATAGCTTTCCCAGCTACCCTACAGCCCAGATGTAAGTTCAAACTTCTTACTTTTCCCCCAACACAAAGGCTCATGAAATGACCACACGACAGCTCGGTCCACGTCATTGCAGAGGCCTAATGAAGGATCTGCGGGAATTCTAAATTATGCGTTCTAGGCAGCCTTCACTAACTGACAGTATCGCTGGAAGTGCCATGTTGATGCAGAACGGTGATGTTTTGAAAACTATAAGGACGATGTGTCTAAAATTTCAGTAATACTTCCTGTAGAATATACTACTTCACGAAAAAATCCTGTATTTCATATTTTTATTCACCAAATACTGCGGAACCATAAACCAAGCATGAAGGGCGACAAATGGCATATACAGTGAATACGTTTGGCAAAAATAAAATAATATAGGATTATGATGTCGATTCAAGTATACAGTGAAATGCAGAAGTAGTACTAGGAGTAAAAAGATCCCTCAAAATGTGTTAATGCATCATGTGTATAAGTTGGCGTGTTGTTCTCATCAACAGCTGCGACAGATATAGGGATAGGTACAGGAATTAATTGTTAGTGTAAAGCAGCTTAGGAAGCCCTAGTGTGTCTTCTACGCTCGAATGGCTCAATGCTAATTTTAGTAAGGTTAGTGGAGAAATCAATCGGTTCTTGAAATTTTTGTTAAATATAAATCTGACCACAATTCGCTGCAGTCTATGAAGGATACTGATGTACGTTTCATGTTCGAATTCCAAAATATTGTCACGAGGTCGCGACCCTGACGTAGGCAGAGACGGCTTGTCCAAAATGAAACTGTTTATTTGGCCTGACTTGTCGCCGGGGAACTGATAGTGAGATTACAGCAATAGACACTGGCCCAGGCAGCGGCGAACGGTGCGTCGGCCGTCGATCAACTGACAAGTGGTGACACTCGTCGGCTTTTGTACATGTGCCATCGAATACTCTAGCGTTATCGCTTGCGGCCCCGTAAGTTCCACGAGAATCTGTAATGTTCGCATTGTGCGCGTAATCTTGACAAAACAATCTACTAAAAATAATGAATCTTCCAGAACAGCTTCTAGTCGTGGTTTGCTCTGACAGTCGCTGAAACCGAAGTATAGCCTAGAGCGAAATAAAGAAACGCTCGTGGCAATATGCGTCTATATGTGAGCTTAGGTCTAATAGGGTCATGTAAGCACATCGCATTCACATCATATGTTTGTGCCTAAAAAAATGCATAACTTTTCTCAAGGATGACGCTGTCGAGGGGCCTTTTTTTTTTGTCGTACAAGGTGGGCGTAAAAGGGGTTGTCTAGTTCCCAATCGTTTATAGCTTATGTAATACTTGACCAATTCTCATGAAACGAAAATTATTATGTTGCATACACTTTACAACATAGCTAGCTTACGTCAATGCAAATATCCGTGACCTGACCTACACTAAATTTGCGGGTACATGCGTTATTTGAATCATCTTCCAAAACGATAGTTAAGACCGCACACACAAACACACACGCTCAAACACACACAAAGATGACTTCGAGAAGCAGGTTCAGCAAGTTTTCGGACACGCAAAATTTGTCGCAAACATCTCCAGTAGTTTACGAAAAAACTAGTAAATAATACAGGTGCTCAAATTGAATATGTGTGGCGCATGACAATTCTCCCACAGCAAGAAACCAAATTATTTTTGTTTCACAAGAATTAGTTAAATATTTGAAAATACATAAAGATTTTATTACAGAGTTGTTTTGTGCTTACCATGTATATGTACGTTCCTATGCAAACAGGCGAAATATTCTTGGACAGAAATGTGCTCCTCCCCCACGTGTTCAAAATGAACAGCAATCAGTATCGCTACTGACATCAAAGTATTTTCAAGTTCCATCACTGAACGCCAGTAAGTTCTCTTTTGTAGTTTTTTTTTTACTCTATGGTTCCTCTAACTGCATCATGTCACGGCTGTAGCACGTGTACACCGTAGTGTCATCTGAAGTTGATGTTTTCATTTAAGCGGCCGTTCAAATATAGTGCGGAGAATGCTCGGCACGCATTGAGTTAAGAAATTTGGCTCTGCTAGTTTCATACTACAACGTGAAGTCCATGCATACTTAAATTAGCATGCATTATTGTTGAAGCTGCGGCTCTGTGCCTATACATTGCTATGTTCATGTCACTGTAGGCATGAGAGACTTGTCGGCAGCAGTTACACTGGTTGACGGGAACTAGAAAAATCAGCGAATCACAAACCTGGGCCAGTGGCTAAAAAGATGGCACGCATGTCCTCCAGCTTCATAGGGTCGTAGCCATGGTTTCCATTGTATATCTTATTTGATTGTGGCACCTGCTTGTCCGTCCCTTGAAGCTGATAAAGAAGAAATGGCACGATTGCAGAAATTCTCGCAAATAAGAAAAAAAAACACTTTCCAGTTCTGGCCCTTTCGGGTTTCAGGAACATTAGAAGAGAGATCGTTTTCCCCTTTCAAGACTGCAACAGCCGAAATAGGATTTGAAGCAATGTTTCGGGCAACAAAACGTTGCTTTTGGACGACGAAATCCTAACTATAGAGCAGTATAACAAAGAAGGCTTACTTTTAGAAAAGAAAACAAAAAATATGTACAAACCATTTAAGATCAGCTGAAACGTGCACGGTACACGTGATTTTTGCTATTTCAATAAAGGAAGTTGGTTGAAATACTGTTAGGGATACCCCGCAGGGACAACAATGACGTTGTCCATATTATCACTAGCAGCGCCTGTCAAATGATTTGATAGGCGCTGAAAATGCTTGTGTAGACCAGCCAACCTAGTGACCTATAAATTCGGTATATTCGTAAAACAATAGTGAGTATGGGGAGGGGAGAGGGGTGACGAGAAAAAAAAAAGCTAGCGTACGTTTTTGTTTATTGTACCTCGGGGCCGCAGAAACATCATACACCACTCCTAATGATTGCCAGTATTTTTTCTAAGATTTAAGCCATAATAATAATACAAGTATCACTTGCGCTATACGTCATGGGCACTCATCTGTAATTAAAGAAAAATGTCGAAAACAGCTGGTACTAAGAGTCCCTTATAAATATTGGTACGCTAATTTGCACTGAACTCTTGTAATGCAATGAAACTGGCATATAAAACACTCCACATGCGGTAGAGCAATACCAGGAAGTTTTCGAATCACTCTAATCTTTTCTTTCCTTTCCCATTGGGGTCGACATAGTTACGGTCAAGTTTGCGCGTCTAGATTAAATTGCATGATGGTGCCCAAATTGATCATGGCTGACGCTGCCTCCAATTCTTGCTATAATTGGGGCACTCAGAAAACTTTTGAGGATGGTCGGATATTTTGGCACAGCTTGGCGCCCTTTCAACAGATTTCACGGTTTAGGCTCAAATTGGTGCAAAAATATTTTCATAAAACTGAAGACGCAGCTGTTTATTCGCATCAAAACTGTTTAGACCCATCAAAGGTTGACGAAGCTGTTTAATTCCTGCTCTTGAAAAAATATATATGCTTAATCACAAATATGATCTACGTCCTCGACTTTCGCCGAAAACTTGCTGCCAACAACCGTCAGGGAAGAAAATATTTCAAACAGAGCCATGAATTGATATTATCGACAAAAGTACCTTCTTGATCTGGTATCCAGGATCTGCGGTGAGCACAATGGGTTGCGTCAAGTGAGTCTCTTTCAGGTGGTACAAATCAGGCAACTCCTCCTTCCTAAAAACGTTCAGGCCCTTTATGTTCAAGCTTTTCAGCTTGGAATAAACCTGCAAGAGTTGGAATGGAAGCAAGCTATGTACAATTTAGGCAAGTTATTCGGGAAGTCAGGTTACAGAACATTTCTGCTTTGGTCACGGATATACTTTAATTGAAGCCGATGATATCTTTAGTTACCGTGAGACAGTGACTTCTGATTCAGAGTACCCAATAAATGTTTATCCAATCCAATCCAATCAATTGTTGTTATTACTTTCTTGTCGCAGTGCTGTCGGGGGCATTTTTTCTGTAGACTTATTTTATTGATTTATTCAATACTGCAGACTCGAGGTCCAAGCAGGGTGGTAATACACATACAAATAAAATAATTGCGAAACGAAACAATGAAGGGCGAAGAAGGCTGTTTGGTAGGTTGGTTCATTCATCACATGTATTAGTAAGACAGTTCCATTCACATATGGTTCTTGGAAAGTACGAATACTTCAGTAGGTCTGTGCGAGCAAAATATGGGATCAAGGCCTTTGGGTGGTAGTGTCGGGTGGGCTGGCTACTAAGGGGTGTCAAATACGGGGATGGGTCTAGAGCTATTTTTTTTTTTTGTTCAAAAGTTGATCAAGGAATTCTAATCTAGCTTTTTGTCTTCGCATCTGCAGTGAGGGAATGTTGCTGGCTAGCATTAAATCTGAGGGCGAGTATAACTTGGAGTACTTGTTGAATATAAATCTAACAGCTTTTCTTTGAATACGCTCAAGAGTGTATATATTACGTTTTGTATAAGGATTCCATACTATGCTCGCGTACTCTTGTTTTGGCCACACAAGGGCTGTGTAACAAAGTAGTTTAACATTCGTAAGACCACTTTGAAGTTTATGTTTAAGAAGACATAGTTTACGAAAGGCAGATGAACCGACATTATCAATATGGAGATTTCAAGATAAGTTGGAGGTGAGTGTCACACCAAGGTATTTGTAGGAGTTTACTTGTTGCAGTGGTGAAGACCCTAATATGTGACTTAATGTGGTGTCCGTATAATGGGAGTGTGGGCAGGGGTGCGCGACGATGTGAAGCCTACAGCACATTTGCCAAAACCATCTGCTTTTGGGGCAGGAGCTTCTTAAAGTGTGGGTCATTCCCTCCTCCATTTGTGTGTAGTATGTATCTAGCCACCTGTAGTTTAGGAATTGCTTACTAGATGGCGTTGTATGTATCTGTACTTCGAAATAATATCACTAGATGGCGTTAGTAGTTTTAGTATAGTTGACGATTAAACAGGATAGATGGCGCTGTTATAATGAAATCACAGCATATCCACGAAGTTAGTGATGATAAGCTTCGTCAACATTATAAATATATAACTGTATTCGTACCATAGATATGATATCTGTTATAGAGCTAATGCATTCTAAGTTTTTTTTTAATGAAAGACCCATAACATCCCTCCCCATTAAATACTTGGAAGTTGTAAGCGATCTTGTTTACAAACATAACAGTTTTCAGCAATTAGGATCTTGTATTGAGCAGTATATAAACAAGCCGAAATAGGTAATACGTTGGATTGATTGATTGATTGATTGATATGTGGGGTGTAACGTCCCAAAATCACTATATGATTATGATAGACGCCGTAGTGGAGGGCTCCGGAAATTTAGACCACCTGGGGTTCTTTAACGTGCACCCAAATCTGAGCACACGGGCCTACAAATACGTTGGAGCAGATGGATACCGTTTGGTAGTAGAGCACCTGGCTTTTTTTTTTTTTTAGCTCAACTGCAGGCACTCAACGCTTTGCGTAAATCATATACGAGAACGCTAGTGCACCGCAATAATGCCAGTTTTGAGGAGCTTTATTAAATATTACGCCCACTTTTACACTGATCATACCTTATCAATCTTGTCCGGGTATGGCCGAAGCATAACGAACGACCCACCATCGAGCATGGAATGGAGATCATTGGCATCGATGTGCGGCTCAATGTCGATCAGGTGAAACTTCTCCGGTCTGGTGTCGGTCATGCCGTGGTCAGACACCACGATGAGACTGAGCTACAGGAAGCGAAGGACACCAATCCAAGACACCAAATTAACGCTATTGCGCGTTTAGCATCAATGAGCAAAAAAGGTGCTCGTATGAATGAAGACCAATTTCAATATTTCAATAATTTTCGCGTCTTTCGTGCGTGATATTGTTACTTCTACATTAAATAGTGGTACACAGGCAGAAAACACACCAAATATTTGTTAAGAATATTCGAACAAATAGTAATAACGTTCAGTACCTAAAGGCCCATCTTGTTTTTGTTCTTTTGAGTCTCTGTTTACTGCGCCAATCCACGTGTGCTGTGTTTGTTCAAATAAAGTATTATTGAATTTGCGACAGGATAGGCTATTTTGTCGTACGCAAATTAACACAATTAATTTGCGTCAAACCGTCGGTTTGCATCAAAATATACGCAAAAATTCTTGACGTTTATGTGTGTAGCTGCGTATAAGCACTATGTGCGTTCTTGTGTGAGGCCTGTTCTACTCAATTGTTGCAAATGGAATGCTACATGCAAAGTCATAATTAGATAAAGCAATGTCACGTCTCAAAGAATTATTATTTGGAAGCCTAAACTGTCAATCGAGTGACACTCAGTTGTTCCAGTGGCAAGCATTTATTTCTGCAGTGACGAGATTCCGCCCATTGCTAAATATTTCCTGCAAATTATGAGTACAAGCCTAACAGTTACGGAAAGTACCATCGGCGAAGAGAACACGTCATATACAATCACCGTTTGAAAAGACAAGCAGAAGGGTACAGAAAGAGATAAAAAGAGAAAAACTGCATCTGCTTAAACTTAGTATTTTCGTTTAATCTCAGACACGATCTCTTTACCTGATCACGTATGTTTTGCCTTTTGGCTTCGTCAAGCAGGTGTTTTATGACGTTGTCGGCACTCTTGAGTGCTTCTCTTCGCTCCATAGAATCAGGACCACTGGCATGTCCTGAAACCGAGGTGCAGCTCATATCAATCCCATGTAGCACACGCAGGGATGCATACATAATTCTGCTAAAGTAGGGAGGTATTCCGGATATCCGGACGCGACCGCTTTGGATCCATGAATGAGCACACGAATACATGAAATCAATGCTCTGAGCAACGACTAACTGTTGTTTTCTGATGAGGAAGGAGGGATATAGGGGGTGGGGTCCATTTCGTGAGCGCGCATATCCTCTGCTGTAGATAGCTCGGCCGTGTCGGGTTCCTTTCATTGTGGCTGAGTGCATAGACGGCCTGTGTCATCTTAGACGTGTGGCAGCTTGGGCTAGTTGGTATGGCGTGACGATAGCTATAGCGCGAGAACAAAACGACGACACAGAGACAAGCCACGATGTTCTTGTTTCTGTGTCGTCGTTTTGTTCTCGCGCTATAACTATCGTCTGTGTCATCTGTCTCGCAAGGGTGCGGCGCGAGCAAATGCTGGAAGAGCCGAGATGTCTGTAGCGCCTTGCGCGCCGCCTTTCTAGAGCCCCTAGTGCGGCAGTTTGCATGCGTTAAATCTAGCCTCAGTGACGCGCAGAAATGGCAGGCGATGCTAATAGCTGTTCATGCTGTTCGCGATAACGTTGTGACTATGAGTACAAACTGACATCCAGGGAAACCTGCACATATTTACTAACGAGTGCGTGAAGCTATGGTCGTTAATTTAATCAGTAAGTTGCGTTCATCACCACTTCAGCTCAACTTGAGCAGTTTCACGCGCGAAAACCACCATACAATATCAGGTTTGCTGTACTCAAGGACTCTCGAGTAATTTTGGCCACACAGGAGCCATTAATTGCATTAACATGTAAGCACACGGGTATTGTCGTGCTTTGCAAAATGCGGCCAATGTGGCAAAGAATCGAACCCGAATCCTCGAGTTTAGCAGCACGACACCTTGGCCTACTAAGCTGCCATGGCGGCTGCTGTGATATTTACGACCGATAAAATTATGGATAAAAATTTTCAGGGCGCCTGGGCTTCGCCTTAGAGCGTAGAACGCGATCGCGTTATCACGTCTCTGCATACGCATCGCCTTCTATATTGATATCGCCTAAATTGCATCGTTTCGCAGTGGACATCAGAAACCGTGCCGCAAGGAAACGAACATATGTGCGCTTAACAGTTGCCGTTTGAAACTGTTCAACTCCTACCGCAAGTACACACTTTAGAAGGGCCCACTACGGCATCTACCTTTTGCGAATCGACGGAGCCTCCACCATGATGCGTTCGTGAGCTGCCACCTGCCGCTGCATTCTTAGTCGGCGCTGTTGCTAATAAGGATGATCAATTACGTCTGGACGCTTTGTAACGGGTGGCGTTTATTACACTCTGTTTGCCATGCACAAGGCCTGGTTCCTAATTTCACTAGAGCCAAAGATTATTATTTATTTTGTTTATCGCTCCCAACCAACTATGCCACCGCGGACACCAAAATTTCTGCGAAGCGGGCTTCTTAACGCTATGGGGTTAATATTTCGTGTGCTTTTCTAATACGTCGCTATCACTATCAATAATTCGACTTTCTGGCGATAACAGCGACATATTTACTCTACTGCGGTTATCATGTGCCAGCGAAGCACTGTGCTTCCGAAATGAACTAACAGATGATGAGCTACTTATTGCCACTAAAATTGCAGATTTTCCTATAATAAAGCCTTTATTTTTCTTTCTGAGAACATTTTATGCGTGCTTTAAAATGCGAATCTACATGATCCTGCCAGCCATGTTTTTATAGTGTACAATGAATAATGATCTCGCCCTGCTATTGCTATGTTGCCAAATGGTGTGAGACCCTAATTAAGCTTTACAGTTTTTTTTTTTGCTTTTACTTTTCCCCCGCAGCACCACTGTTTCTGAATTTCGCATCGCCTGTGAAGTGTAAATAAACTGAAATAAAATTAAAATTGAATTTCACCTAAAAACTCAGCCAGTGAACATAGGAACACTGCCATGGCGCTCAGTTTGGATATACGTGAATTGCAGAGGAAAAAAAATATTTATGTTGCTCACAAGAGACAGAAATAAATAAAATGGAAAAGTCTCCCTGTTGTCATAAAAATGTTACTTGGTTCCGTTTTTTTTATTTTTGTGGTGTTCTGGCGTTGGCATGCGAATACTATATACATCACGGTTGTTTTAGTGGAGCGGCAATCAAAAGAGATCTTACTTGCATGTGCTTAATGTCTAGTGCAGAAAATTTCCATTTGGGGTACATTTACATTGCATGAACAATCAAGTAGTAAGACTGAGACTGAGTGTGTGATCGTCTATCTGTGTACTTATTCAACCGGAAGTTTCAGATGTTGCCTTTATAACGAAGGAAAATTTGGTACCAGGATAGAAGCTAGCCGGCTTGAAACATTCGCATCAACGTCACCCTTAACAGCTTCACAAGAAAGCATAGAAGGACTACATACCTACTGCATCGACGGCTTCGTAGTAAACAAGTGCAAAGTCGAGCGTATTCTGTTTGAATTTCTCCACTATTCCAGATAGTGCGCTTTTAGTATCGTTTTCAACCGTAGGCCACTGCCAGTAACCCCTGTATGGAATGCATGTGGACGGCCTGGAGCCTCGTATTTCCACCTGTAGGTCGAAAAAAAAACAGAGGGGTGTACGGCGTGAACTCGATTTCCTAACACAGTAAAACCTTTGAGGTTGTGTCTACGGGAGTTTCCGTTACATTAGCCACATAGCGTTTGAAACAACCTTCATCAGTTTTAGAGGTATTGATTCTTAGACTCACCAACGTGTACGCGTTCATTGACAAATGAACAAAAGCTGCCAAATCTTTATTAATAAAGTTTTGTTGGTGATTTTTTTGTGTACATAAAAAAGCACTGTGCTATTTACATAACTTTTTGCAGACATTGTTGCAATTTTGCATGGGACAAAACTACAAGTCTTGCGTGAGATAACCTTTTCGCAACGTATCTCGCAACACTTCCTTTAAATAAACGAATCAACGAACTGAACTTCGATTCCACTCGACTACACGAAGATGTATTTGCGCTTTAAGCAATCGTTCCGGCGCCAACGAATTCCACTTCGAATGCGACGGGGTAATATTGCAACCACTGATATACTTAAAACAGTGATAACACTTCTGGTAACTACCAAATACGGTCTACCCTCTAAAGTATAGCTTACATAAACGTGACAGCTTCAATGCCTCACAAAGCGCCAAAATTTACCGCGAACATAAACACAAGCGATACTAAAAATCATGCGACGTCAGCATGATATAACATATCACCAAAATTGTGTTACGTAACAATGACGTCAGGATAAACGTAAAAAATGACGTCATCACAAGACATGATCGCTTGGTGAAAGATAGGCCGATCACGGAGGCAGTCCAAAACCAGGAGTGGGGCTGAAAGCTAATAGTGACTCCGATCATAGAGGCCATGGAAAATAACGTTATGTGCAGACTGCTTTTGGTATAGGGGACGGGCGAGGATCTTTACTTCAACTGAGCCGAAAAATATGATGGCTTTAAGAAAATGCTTAAGAGACCCGGTGACGTTCTTCCTTTCTTTTTCCGTTTTTTCTTTCCTGACGCAAAGCTTCGTTTTGCGGAAAGTTTGTTTCCCCTCACCACCTAACTCTTTCGGCGCCAATGAGAGATTGCACAAAGCTAGTGAGCGCATACCTGGCAGCCGTCCCACCAGTACATGCCCGTGCGGAGTCCATTTTTCTCGGCCGTCACCCAGACTGGTTCAGCGTGGTTCCACCAGTGCGGGTGCGACGCATTCGGGTGGGGCGCCATCATGAAGAAGTCGTCGTACTGATCGTCGTACATGTAATTCTGCACGAAACCGTGCCGCTCCCCGTACAGACCTGCACAAAAGGCGAGGAAGGAAAAGTGTCAGCGCGTACTCAAGCACAAGAAAATCGCCTTCAAAGCAGGCATAGTTTCCCACTATGTCAACAAAGGTACTCTCAAGGTCTGACAATTTGTATTGCTCTTGGCGGACGACGAGGAAAGTTATTTCAGCTCGCTTAGACCGTCGAACTCAAAAGACCACGCAGTTAATGTGTGGCGCAGTGCGACTGCTTATTGACCTTTAATGTGTTTATATACAGAACATCAAAAAGGGCTCTTGCCGTCCAGTCTTCCTGTACTACAAAGCATCTTTCAGTTTAAAGGGGCACTAAAATAAAGCGAAAAAAATTATTTTCTCCGTATTGGTAAACTACTCTCACGATACCAAGAACACCACGCTTGATGCGATAAGCTTGGAAAGTGAAAAAGGAAGGAAGGAAGGAAGGAAGGAAGGAAGAAAGAAAGAAAGAAAGAAAGAAAGGAAGAAAGAACGGAAGAAAAAAAGAAAGAAAGAAAGGAAGGAAGGAAGGAAGGAAGGAAGGAAGGAAGGAAGGAAGGAAGGAAGGAAGGAAGGAAGGAAGGAAGGAAGGAAGGAAGGAAGGAAGAACAAGAGAGGCAGGGAAGTTAACCAGGTACTACATGCCCGGTTGGCGTCCCTACGCTGGGGGAAAGGGAGTATAAAGAAGGGAAAGAGAATGGAAAGAGGGGAGAATATGTACGAAAAATAAATAAGGATGGTGACCCCACCTTTAAGTGCCTGCACCAGCCATCCCGAAGTCACAGATTTTAACCGCGTCTATTCTAAGAACCACGTGATTCCTAATCGATAAAAATGAAGCACATTGTCCTCTCAGTGAACCACAGAATCGACATATCAGGTTTCTGTAAATTTCGCACAGCCCATGTGGACTACATACCCCCCCCCCAAAAAAAAAAATAAACACACACACAAATTCGTGACTCCTACTCCCAATTGGGAGCCTTCAGCGGAAAATCAAAAGGTGAAACTTTTGATATTGAATTTATCACCCATTATTAAACTTGCGAAGATGAAATTGACGATGGTTGAGTTTTCAGAATACTTCATTTGTCTAAACTAATTTGTTCTTTCGTTTTAGTGTCCTTTCAGCACAAGGACAGTAACGCCACACTATTCTTGTTACCATTACTATTCTTGTTAAGAATAGTAAAGTCCATACATGAAAGCGAAATCGGCGAGAGCTCGTCTAGGTTTGTCGAAGAATATCTCGAGTGCGGGAACGCTGGCAGCAATCAGTCACAGTTTCCATGCTTCCGCTGCGGTATAGTCCAAGCTCATGAGCGCTTTGTTGCGGGAGTGTCACAACCGTGACCTCACTGAAACTCCCGAGATAGCTTGGTGTGCCTCGGTGCATCGGTCACGAGGGTTTTCGGCTGCTGACCTGATGATGGTCGCGGGTTCGATGTCGGCCGTGGCATTTTGATGGAGGTGAGATGGTAGAGGGCCGTGTGCTGTACGGTGTCAGTGCACATTAAAGAGCACCAGGTGGTCGAAATTTCCGGAGCCCTCCACTACGGCGTCCCGCACAATCAATCGTGGCTTTGGGACTTTAAAGGCCATATATTGCTATCACCATTATTATTATTATTATTATTATTATTATTATTATTATTATTATTATTATTATTATCATTATCATTATCATTATCATTATCATTATTATTATTATTATTATTATTATTATTATTATTATTATTATTATTATTATTATTATTATTATTATTATTATTATTATTATTATTATTATTATTATTATTATTATTATTATTATTATTATTATTATTATTGGAATTGCGCAGGAAGACAGCCACTCTATATATGTTTATTCCATAAAGTCATCTACAGCACGCACGTAAATACATTTTCACTAACAAAGCCCCATCGCACATCTCGCAGGCTTCATAATCAGCATAGTTCTGTTCGTCATTTCGGCCGCACCCAAGCATCTAACGCATCCGCGCTATAGCACGTGCCATAGTTCAACGGAATAACCTTCCTGATGATGTGGTATGCACTCGTGATCGCGTGGTGTTTAGGAATAAAATACTAACTATATATGACTGTGTTTCCTAAGCATGTATTTTATATTCGTGTTCATTCATTGTACATTGACATCTCGAACCGTTCGAAAAATTTATAACGCACATTAGTGTCATATTACTACAGTGTATGTTATCGAACATTTTAGCAATTGTATAATATACGTGGCTTTTGAATTCTTTTCGTTTGTTTTGTGTTCTTTTCAAATAACTATTGTATAGTCCCCCTCACATAATGCCTCTACTTGGAGCCTGTGAGGTATTTGTAAATAAATAAATAAATAAATAAATAAATAAATAAATAAATAAATAAATAAATAAATAAATACTGAGATTCGTGAGAACCTCCTGGGGAGCTCTACTGTGCTTACGAAACTGCCAGGTGGACACCCCATTTCGGTGCACAAATACGTTCGTGCAACTTTTACTGGCTGAACGAGGGGAATTAACAGGCGTTCAGCAAGTCAATGAATTACGCACATAACACATGCACGGAGAAAGCACTCAAAGGCGGGCCTCAACACACAAGACACAAAAGTTAGCACGACATTTGTTATATCAAAGGTGCAACTCAGGTACAGTTCAAGTACACATTGAAACGAAGGATCGAAGTGCATTTCATCGGTAAAATGCGGAATCTCACAACGATGAGGTAACTTATGCGTCTTGCAGAAGGAAGGCCTGAACCAGCGATTTTTAAAAGCTATCGCTTCGAATCCAGTGGGGCCCTATAATGGGGGCTCCTCCCATATGAACCTGTACCATCCATGTGCACAAATAAAGTTCTTCGACCTATCTGACTCCATACCGTAAATATAATTACATCACACCACACGAATCTCTGTTGCCATTAAACGTGCTTTCCTTTTCTAACTCTCCAACACCGATAGCGCAACATTTGAAAACATCAGACGCACGCACGCACACACAAACACACATTATATATATATATATATATATATATATATATATATATATATAAGGGAAAGAAATGTATACCTAAGGGCTCGTTTTCACGTGTTTTGACACAATATTAATGAGGTCTAACAGACAGTAATGACAAGGAATGTACAGAAGGAAGTTATTAGAACCAATGGAATGTAAATAAGAAGAAAGAAAAGTGGGTGAAAAAATAACCAGCCGTGAGCAGGAATCGAACCTACGACCTTCGAGTAACGCGTTTGATGCTCTAACCACTGAGCTATCACAGCTGCCTTCCCTCCATCCACTTTTTTTTTGGAGTTTATATGTGAATTTAGAAGTAGGAGTGTCAGTCAGTGCCATCTATAAGCCAAGCGACGAGTGTGAAACACTCTTTTATGCGCATATGTGGCGTCACGTAGCACGTGAACTTATTACGACCGGGCAGCTGATTAATAGTCCCTTGTATACAACCTAATGACACCAAGTCTGCCAGTACGAGACCCTCGTTAATGACTAAGGGAAAGAAATGTATACCTAAGGGCTCGTTTTCACGCGTTTTGACACAATATTAATGAATAATATATATATATATATATATATATATATATATATATATATATATATATATATATATATATATATATATATATATATATATATATATATGCCAAGGAAGGTACAGGGGAAGTTATTAGGCCAATCATAATGTAAATGAGAAGAAAAGTGGGTGAAAAGATAACTTGCCGTGATATATATATATATATATATATATATATATATATGTATGTATGTATATATATATATATATAACAGACAGTAATGCCAAGGAATGTACAGGGGAAGTTATTAGAACCAATGGAATGTAAATAAGAAGAAAGAAAAGTGCTCACGGCTGGTTATTTTTTCATCCACTTTTCTTTCTTCTTATTTACATTCCATTGGTTCTAATAACTTCCCCTGTACATTCCTTGGCATTACTGTCTGTTATATCTCATTAATATTGTGTTAAAACACGGAAAAACGAGCCCTTAGGTATACACTTCTTTCCCTTATTATATATATATATATATATATATATATATATATATATATATATATATATATATATATATATATATATATATAAGTGGTATTATTTGTTATCCAGGGCCTTGTCTCCGGGTAAAAAAGCAGACAAAAAATTTTTGCATGTAATTTCTTTACCACATGGCAGAACGGCAAGTATGAACTACTTGCTCAGCTCTTTAGCACATGCGGAATTCGCCTTGGCAGCTTCGTCGCCTTCAGCTGTGATGACCTCTGTCAACGACATGTAAGAGGTGTAAGAATAGTATTTAGGAATAAGTTCTTAAGAAAAACAAACTTGGACAAGCGGTTGTCACAGTGAGGCCGCATACCACGCCAGAGTGATGGACTGTGATTGATGGTGTGCTGGGTTACGTGCTGTCTTTCTCTCTTTGCTCTCCATCATTCAAACTTCTGCATCAAGTTTGCATGTGTAGGGTAGCAAACCAGTTATCATAGACTGATTAACCTCCCAGATTTTTCTTATCTGCTATTTCTATTTTATCGGCATCTGGTACCATAAATTGTCGCGCTTATATACACAATTTAGCAAACCCAGAACAAGATCCTTCCGCGGGCCTAGATCGACTCGTGTATGTTCGGCGTCAAGGTACTAACTTCAGTTTTGAAGCAGTGAGTAATTGCTTGTAGCCTGCGCGAAATAATTTCGAAGTTACTTTTACAAATGCGTGTACAATACATAATACTTCTATTTTGATTATGCTTTTAAGTATGTCGGGTCTCTGTAGTGATATTACTCTTTCAATAGCACTTTTTTTTACATGTATAGCGTGGGCATTCTTCGTTTATATTGCCTTCAGATGTATTTTGCTTTTGCTGTCTCGTTGTCACAGCGAACCTGGAACCGCGGGACTTGTCAGGCTGTTTATTGCAGCTTTTTTCCCGGTACGAAGCGCTTCCTGTGTAACTGCACGCGGTAAATGAA